AGACTTATTGCAATAGGCGAATTGATATAATTATGGATGGGATATTAGTCAATATTTTGACAATATTAATAAAGATTATTAAACTTTATACCTTGCTATTTCAATCTTAGTAGAACTGAAACCGAGTAATAAGCACAATATCTATGAATATATGTTTCGTTAGACCTACTTTCGGATAATATCGCCGTTCGGGGAAAGCTTAAATACGAGCGCTATTGCAGACCAACAACAACGAGGAGAGACGGGATGAAGACTTGGTGTCGTGTCACCTTGTCTTTTGTTCTTTTTTCTGCGCTTTTCGTTGACACTTGCTGTTCTGCTGTCTTTTCTCAAGAAACAGCGCCGAGGCTGAAAAGAACCTACAATGAAGAAACCAAGGGTTTTGGAAAAGCTGCTTTAAAAGATCGCGAGGAGAATGACAATTGGGTCGGGGAATATAATGAAAACGATGTAGATGACCATGGTTGGGCTAACGACGACGATGCAGCAAATAAAGATGAAAACGATGAAAATCGAAGTGACATAGAAAACGAAGAAGGAGGAAAATATGAAGATGAAAAACAAGATACAATTGAGGAGAAGGATGAATACGAAGTCGAGGGCGAAGAACTGAGTGATTTGGTAGAGGACTACTACGACGATGACGATGCTGATGATTATGATGATGATGATGATGCTGATGATTTGTCTGATAAATCAGATCTTGCTGAATGGGATGAAGATAATGATGAAGAAGGTAGGTTTTTTTCTTTCTTTTCTTTTAATCGGGTTTATTATAAAGGTCAGGAAAATTACGTTGATAAGTTAAGTGCCTGGTTCGTTTCGCCCCTTTTCTTTATGGTTAACGAACCTTAGATGGACCTTCTCGATTTAAAATACGGGATATAAGCGCAAAAAAAACACACTTTCATCTTTTAATTTCTTCTTCTTCTTATTGTTATTATTACCATTTTCATTTTCCAAGATTAAGGCAAGGTGCATGATTTGTTGGCTCTTCTTAATTTGCCTTCCCTTGAGGTGTAAACCGTAAGAGCATTTGGATTCCAGCTGAAAATAAACAGCATCTATTTTTAACTAAATGGGATATTGTATATTTCAAACAGTAGGAATGAAGATATATCGCATGCGAGACCCTGATCGAGGTAGTGGACGCGTATCTCAACGAGCACGTCGACGAGGTGGGCGAGGTAGAAAAGAGGATAAAGGCGGGTACCCAGGCGACGCAGGCCACGTAGGATACGGAGACCACGCAGACGACGTAGAATAAGATCACCCCGACGACGTAGAATAAGATTACCCCGACGACGTAGAATAAGATTACCCCGACGACGTAGAAGACCACCCCGACGACGTAGAATAAGACCACCCCGACGACGTAGACGACGAAAGCGACGAGGGGTGAAGTAGACGACGAAGACCACCACGATCACGGAAAACCACTCCAAGACCTACCACACTGTCTACTCCAAGTGCACCCGTACCAGGTTGGAATGGACCTAATCCAGGAGGGAATGTTCAAACTCCCACAGAGTAACGATAGATGGCGATAGATGCAATGTGCTGACTGCAAATTCAATTATACTACTACAAACGGCAAAGCGTGGACTGCCAGTCCTTAACTGCTCTAGCCAACGAACAAGCTCTCCAGGAGCTTGCAACTAGGTCTCTGGAATTTGAATTCAAGCCCAAATTCCCCTGTGGCTCCCCGTCGACCGTGCTGTCAAATTTTCGCCAATCATCGAGAAGCGGAAACGAGTGAGAATGAAAACAAGCATTTAACAACACGTGCCCAGGATAATGACGTCATTACTAATGTCATGTCCGCCAATCAGCAGTTTGCATCGCCTTTTTCGATGCAGATATTCAAATTCCAGAGAAGTAGTTGCAAGCTCTCCTTCCTTTTCCCGCCTCGCCGCCAGAGCGCCCCTGAGAGCTTGCTGACAGGCTAAAACAGCTCCCACTTTATGGGATTTTAAAGTAACATAATTTTTTGTAATAGCTATAATTCTTACTAATAAAGATGAAAGTTCAGTGAAAGCTTTATTTTGACTATTTTTGTGGTGCAAAAATTAGGTTTTGATGCACGGTGCTCTCCTGACAACTTAACTGCCAATTTATAAGTAGCAGACATAAGTAGCAACATGGACTTTTTCAGTAAGACTCACAGTAAGGCCGGTTCCAACACTCAGACTAACGTCATCTCTTGCCCTGTTACGACAGCGACTATACCGTACATCAGAGGTACCTCTGAAACTATCGCACGTATACTACAGCTTTACAATATAAGTGTTGAACACAAACCGATAACCACTTTACGACGACCACTTACTAAGGTCAAGGACAAAGACAAACCGGAGGACATTCAAGGAGCAGTATGCAAGATCAAATGCTGCGACTGCCAGGCTTCTTAAATTGCTGCAACCGGCAGAAACCTTGGCACGCGACTGACCGAACACAAACGTGCGACGAGAAATGGTGACGTCAACAATCACATTGCTGAGCACCATTTACAGACGAAACATAAAATCGACTGGCCCTCTGCGACATGTTTTATGTATTCTACAGACTACTATCAACGACTCACTTTAGAAAGCTGGTTTACTATCTTAGAACAAACGCCACTAAATCGTAATCAACAGTTACCGGCACTGTACAAACAACTTATCGACGGAATCAAGCAAAACTAACCACGATGTTCCCAGATAAATTTTAAGACAAGTCGCTAAGTTTGGTGGACATAGCTTGAACAGTTTTGAATGGTTTTAGCAAGGGGGGCCCTGTAAAGCCCCTTTCTCATTCTGAATAGGGTTAATATCTCATTCTTAACCCTTTTTCTTTGAATGTTGCTTGTTTATTTATTTCTTCATTATTATTTCTTCATTTAGTGTCCACAATTAGCTTTTAGCTAAATACCTTAACACTTTAATAAAGTTTATGTATGTATGTATGTATGTATGTATGTATGTATGTATGTATGTATGTATGTATGTATGTATGTATGTATGTATGTATGTATGTATGTATGTATTAGATGATTGAACACGATTACAATGAAAATAAATGATCAGTTGTTTAGAGAAAAATGGGATAGATTAATATATTTATTGGATCAAGTTGCAATAAGGCAAGTACTACAGTACGTTTTTGAATAGTCTTAGAAAGAAAGACGTCGAAACTAAAGTCGACTTTACGTTTAAAGTTATGGAAAGGGACACCTGTAATTGATGTATACAGTTTGCTAGTTTATGTAGTTAAATTTTCCGCACATTTGGCGGGTCGGTGTGGTAGTGTAGTGGTAAGGGAGAGAGATTAGGATACGAAAGGTCTGGATTCGAGGTTGTAATCTTCTGTCTTTTTAATAGAATCACTCTCAATAACAGGTCAAAAATGTTCTAATTGTCTTAAAAATGACAAGAACCGTTTACGAAAGGGAAATTGGCCTTGGCGACATGTCGTTGCAACACGTCGAGGCGACAAGTAACTCCTTGTCTACAGGTCGAGTGACAAGTTACGCGACAGGTCGCAGCGACAAATGGCTTTGTGTAGTGCAGAAATCTGTGAAAATATAATTCTCTCCGACAAATCTTGTTTTTGCCTCAAAAAGTTTTAGAAATTCAATCTGAATTGATTCGTAGTAATTTTTGTTGCCATTGCTTAGCAACGATCAAAATCTCATATTTTTTTTCCACAGCTTTATTGGGTACTCCTCTTGTAATATACAATATGAATTTATAATAAAAAAAAAAAAGAAAAGAAAAGAAAAGAAGCAAAAACCCAAAAGGGGTAGGTGCAAAGGGACTAACATCCCATGCGAGGCACCGCTCGTAGAATTTCATCTGATAAAAGTAATATTTTTTTTCCCCTTTTCTTTACTGTCGTTTTCATGTAATCGTTTTCAATCTATGAAGAAATAAATAAACAAGCATCATTATTAAACGAAATAAAAAGGATTAAGGATGAGATATTAACCCTATTCAAAACTGGGGAGGGGCTTTAGAGGGGCCCCCTTGCTAAAAAGTTGAATAACCTCAAAACCGTTCAAGCTATGTTCACCACAGGCGGCCCAGACATAGTACGTGTCAAATGAATATATTAATATTCACATGGAAAACAGGATGAGTCGTCGAAACTCCCATGAACTAAAATAGTCCAAAAGTCAAAATATAACAAAACAAATCTAAGATACCTTCAACTGAACGTATCCTTGTCTTTCCTTAGCGACCGCGTTCGCGCAACAAGGCAGCACTTGCTTTGCGAGCAAGAAGCAGGAGCACACGTTACCTGCAGATTAGCCGATGGCAATTTGGAGCGGATTCGTCAATTATTTTCGAATTTATAGCGCTTCGTGTGAAGGCGCGTGGAGATGGTCCGTTTGTTTTGTAGCAAGCCTTTAATTCTTCTTTAGTGGATAGTACCTACAATATTTATTATTGCAAAACTCAACAAAATGCCACTTAAACCGGCCAGGAAAGGCAAGGATACGTTCAGTTGAAGGTATCTTAGCTTTGTTTTGTTATATTTTGACTTTTGGACTATTTTAGTGCATGGGAGTTTCGACGACTCATCCTATTTCATCCATGTGAATATTAATATATTCATTTGACACATACTACGTCTGGACCGCCTGTGTGTTCACTAAACTTTACGACGTTTCCTAAAATTTATCTGGGAAGTCATTGTGACGTGTACGCCAATATTGATGCAACATGGCAGCAGTGTTTCGGCAGCCATGTTTTACAAAAAAATAGCTTTTATTTTTAATTTTTCCTCATTCAATTGTTATATTTCACTTAATTTAGCATTTTGTTGAAATAATTATACCTGTTAATAAAATCCAGGCCTTTTAGAGACTAGTTTGAGGAAAAAAAAAAGTTAAGTTGAGTTTAATTTGCAACTCATTCCAACTTATTAAAAGAAGAAAAAGAAAATGAAAGAAAAAAAAACTTGACACATTATAAAAACATTACCTGACAACCGTCTGGTATTCACTAATTGATCTTTATTTGATAATAATTCAAATACTTATTATTTTAGGGTTAGTAATTTTATTAATACGCTAATCTTTTATTTTTTTAATTTCATTTTTGGGTATTACGTTTATGGTTGACGTTTATTACATGTATGATTAGTGTTACATTAAACACTTAATGACTGGTCTCGAGGGAAATAGTTGATATTTGTTTCCCTTGATCATGAATCTCAATGAAACAAAACTAATTGTTTCCTGGTGAGTGATTTGTTGTATACATAACCGACGAAGAAAGACTTTTCCGTGTGCAAATTCATGAAAATCAACATTCTCGCGTAACGGTGTACTGTTACCCTCTGACGTCATAGATTTTGCAAGTTGCCCCCTCAGAGATTTTGGCGGGAAACTGTTTCATTGTTAGATGTCATGTGACCTCGAAGTGAAATGAAAGCGCCTGCAGTTGGGAAAAAATTTCGAGCCATAGAACAATAATGGTTGTTACTTAATTTACGGGTGATTCAACAACAACATTAACAACAACAACCACTGTAAGGGAGTGGCGCACGAATATTCAAACAGCCGCACAAGTTGCGTGACTAGCAGAAAAAAAGTCCAAATCCAGACTTAATGCCCCAACTCAAAATGCAACTCGAAATCCTGACAATTCCTGACTCAAAAGCCATGCTTGCGACGAAGTCCTAATTAGAAATGCATTTCCAAATCCCGCAGAAATTCCTGACTTGAGGCCCAGCTCCATCGAACCTCGAAACTCCCAAATAAACAATGGCTTGTTACTTGTACCCTGTTAATAAACTTTTTGCTGTAAAGTCAATGAACCTTTCTGATAGACAATAACCATATATGATTAATTGTTACGTTCGGAATGAATGTTCTAGAAGTTAACAATTAAAAAGATTTTAAGAAGGAATCCACCAGGAAACTGAGTAATTTTAATTTTCAGTGGACCTTGTACCAGAATAATTTAAAGAATATTGCAGTCTTTTTTACATTTTTCAAGGGATAAAGATGTAATCAGTCATTTGTATTAACACCAAAGAAAATTTCTCATGGGAGGAGGAAAAAATAAATGTCAAATTTCACAAGAATTGTGAAAATACAAGTAAAGTTCTGAAAATTTGATGTGTAAGATGTAGTTTTGTGAAATTTGACATTCATTTTCTCTGGCTCTCATAAGAAATTTGCTAACTAATTGCATCTTTAGACCTTGAAAAATGTAAAAGAGAATGCAATCTGCATTAAATTATATTATTCTGGTACAAGGTTTTTGTCCACTGAAAATTAAAATTACTCAATTCCTGGTGGAATCCGTCTTAAACGTTTAAGACTTAAACTTAGACCAACAAAAAGTGAAAAATATATATATATAGTTGATGAGATTTAGGGTGTTGTATTATAAAAGACTGACTTGCTCGCAATTTTTAAGTCATTCAATGGAACAATATAGAACGTGAGGAAAATACAGTTACACTGGTTAGCTACTCAGTGGCTGTTTTAAATCCACATTAACCAG